AATTTCTATCATTCTATCACAAGATTTTGTTGTATTTTTTCAATGATATTTAATAAGGATGTTTCTGCTTAATACATAAGATATATATAGACGTCAATAATAATGACATAACGGAAGCAGATTTATTTCGCCAAGTCTTCTGTAAAAGCATCATTTGCAGAAGACTACGTCTCAATCACTTCCAGGCAGGAAGCGAAAAATTTGAAATTAGTACAGAAAGAGTTAATTAAACACAACCATTTTGTGATTTGAAAAAGCACACAGTGCACTCATTGGGTCAAATAGGGTAAAACAATTTCGCTATTAGAAGTGCTGTGTCAAACTCCAGTGCTAGTTCCATTTTGAACTGAAGGAAACTGGATACTGTGAGTGTAGAAAAATGAATTTTGCTAAACAACTTCTTCTGCCATGTGAACATACATGAAAATAACAGTTGCATTCAGTTCACACAGTACACAACATGCAATGTTACAAAATATTGTGTTTACATAGACACCACTTACAGACATTCTCACATCACATTGAAACTTAATTCCTTACTTCAAAATAAATGAAATAAAAGTGATCTGACAAATATGCAAAAAATAATAAACCACTCATTGTTTTACACGTTCCATATATAAATAGCTGTGGTAATCTACACACAGCATGATCAACACAGTCAATGTTTGTTGGACGAAGGTGAAAGATTACATACCGTACTAGACATTGAAAAGTCACATATCTACATCCCATTGCCTATATAATATATGTACATACTGTATTTACAAGCTGGAAGAAAACCTTGGAAAGGAATCCAACATTTTTTAATAACATTGACTTACTTATTGGATCACAATGTATTCACATCCTGAGGTACTGAACTTATGTATTGTATAGTTGAGTTACAACATTATATGCATAGATAAAAATTTATTTTGACTAACACCAAAACTAAAGGGAAAACAGCTTTAGCTTAAATGCTTTGCTGCAATAGTTTGACCCAACAACTGAGAATGAGAGATAACCAACTTTCAACAACTGATCCTACCTTGAATTGCTTGAAGTCATATATTTTTCATAACTGTATTTTTTGTTTAACATAAAGATCAAATGAATTTTAACTTCAATACAAAACTAGAAAAATAAAAAAAAATTCTAAAAAGGTTTTCATAAGCATAAATTCATGAATATTCATTACAGATATAAACATTAGACCTTCAAACTGATTTTTTTTCATACAATATATTTTTAACCAATATATGTCAGAATTATTTAGTTGAACAAACAAATTCTCCATCACTACAATGACTCATATAAGCATGTCTCCAGCCGATACCAATCTCTACAATATAGATTTTATTTATAACTGATTGTGACAAAAATACTGCTTAATAAAAGATAGCATTTCCAATAAACTTATGAAATTGAGACTCAAGGTAAACTTTATACATTATATATACAAATACGTAATTTTCAGAAAAAAATTCTCCATATGCTTCAGTCTACAAAAATGACAAGACTATTCATAAAACCATTAATGTATATATTGCTAACACACAGATGAATGTATTAGCCTTCAATGTGCCTGATTTAACTTTTGTACTAGCCTGAAGCAAACCTCTGTTTAATTATCTCTGTAATAGTTAAATCATTTAAGTAAATTCATGACCTTAAAACAACACTCCATCTCACTCCCTTTTCAGACAGGTAATAAGAAAGTGGAAAGTATATTCATTATTGGTAACATTTGGATTCAAAATATCTTTTAAATTGCAATCTTTGAATTTTGAGATGTTTAAAGTAAAGATAATATATGTATATACTTTTATGTTGGTGGTAGTTAATATTATTTGAGTATTACACCTACATCAGAGACCTATTTCATCTTCACCAATCATCTACTCCCTCAACTATACAACACCCTGTAAAGAGGTGAGAGTAACAAGCTTGTCATACAACACAACCTCAAGTAGCACAAACAACACAGCATCCTGGGGAATCTCCAGGCAACAGGTCATAAATCTCACACCTGATTGGTCAAAACCTATGGGGGTCACCTGTGTGGCATGGAGACTGAATAAGATCACATATCTATTAATTAAAATGTCATTGTGTGGTTTATGTGCTGGAGTACTAACGACCTGCTCCAGCTCATTAACACATATGAAGAAGTAGTAGGTCATTTCTGTCAGACGACTTCCTCTGATCTTGACCTTACACCACAAATACACAAATATAGGTCTATGAAGGTCATGGTGGTAAATTAATACAAAGCTTTAGAAAAGCCAAAGCTTCTATGATAATGACAGCTGTATTTAATCACAAATCAACATCTACATGTTGTATAACTTGTTTTATCATACATCCCACTACTATTTCTCCAAATTTACCTTTATGTCATTTTCAGCCTTTTAAAAGATCTACTTACAGAATGAGTGAGTGGCAAAAAACCAAAGAAACTGTTCAAAAGTACTTCTTTTAACAAACTACATTAAACAGGTCTTACTCTATAAGCAATTTTGAAGTGAAATAAAGGACAAACCATAAAAAGATTTATCAGTTATTTCCGAGAATTTCATATTTTTCACAATAAAATACTACCAAGAAATAACATTATCTTTTTGATAGCAAGGTTAACAATGAGATAGCAGCCTCTTACATACCATATATTGCTTTTTTAAAAACAATTCATGTAAAACTTCAAAATCATCTCTACTTACGAAATCTGGGCAACAACTTCAAAATCATCTCTAATTATGAAATCTGAGCAACATTCTTAGCTAAAATGTATTCAGGTGTCCAATATGTGATCTGAAAATAATCTGAGTTTGGTTACAATTGGTTATGTTTCAGCAGCACATCTGAAAGCAAAACCTCAATTTGAAAAGTAAATGAAACTGCATGCCGCTGCCAGAAAAGTCACACCATAGTCTCACTTGTGAGACATCGTTTTATCTCAGGCCAGACAAAAACACTTTGTCCTGTAACCGTGGACAAAATCAATAATACCCACTTCAGATGTTTGTCTAAGTTTTCGGAGAAGACACTTCTTTTGCCTGAAAAGACTGATATCCCTGACATAGAAATTATATAACAAAGCCAGTGTAAAAAGTTCTTCAATGTGGATACCAGTAGCCAGGTACATAGTACACACAATACAAGGTAACAAGATACAAGTTAGATCTATCAAAGCAACGGCTAAACTCATTGGAAATATGAAAACTTTAATCTCTTTCTTAAGCTTTAATATTCCTGCATTTTACAATACATATATCATTTATTATTGATAATTTCTTGTAACAACAGCACTAAGTCAGATCAAAAATCATAAATTGCAAAGTCATTACATTAATGAGAGTTTGTTAAGATGAAAACCTTGATATATAAAGGAAAATTACTCATAAATATCTACAAAAAAAATAAACTTCAAAACAAAAATCATTTCCCCTAAAAAATACTGATTACTAGTATTATTTTAAAATTTTGTTAAAGTTTTGTTAAAATCCTGGATATTTCTTTTCTTTGGCATTCCATGCTGTTGTAATTAATGAATAGCACATAGGTCAAAATAGAGGAAATGGACAGTAAATGTGATGGACCAAAAGGCTACCAATATATTAACCTAGATCTAAACCAATTTAACTTCTGACTTCTATTGTCAAGAGATTTGTTACAAAATGTCATTTTTTACCCATTAGAAGCATTTCTTTCTGACATGGCATTTTCTAGTTGAAATCTTGTAAATCTCTCATCAGATTGCTGTTCGTGACTAAGTTTTTTCGAGAGACCAAGATTGCATCAATATTCTTGAATAAAACAAGTGCATAAGACTAAGCAGATGTAAGGTAAACATTTGGCTCTTTATGTACATCAATCCAAGTTAATTTATGAATTTTTCATTAGATTTAATCACCTGTCCTGTTTTGGTCAATATTGGTACTGTAGTAACTATTGGTCTAAAATACAGCATGAATACCACAAGTTTCATCACTGGATTTGTTTTGGTTGATATTGGTACTGTATGTCGTAACTATATAAAGGGGTCTATAATACAGCATGAATACCACAAGTTTCATCACTGGATTTGTTTTGGTCAATATTGGTACTATATGTCGTAACTATACACCCGCTCAAAAGTTAAGCATCACCAGATTTTTTGGACAGGGTTGAGAAGACCATAACTGAGAATCAATAGTTTCTGCACAAATACCACTGAAAATGTTAATTCTGTATTTGTACGACTGTAAACTTGTAATATAGAATATAAATGACGACATGAATTCAATATTTGATATTTTATCAGCAGTAATTTAAAACTGAAACTTTTCATCAAATTTAGTAACCAAAATATGTTTTCATGTTAACGACAACCAGTCAACTTTTTATCATCAAAAAAGTGATGCAACAATTTGTGATACATCTCTCTTCATTAACTCAAATATTTGTTGGTATCGGGTGTAACCACCCATTGCACGGATGCAAGTTTCAACACGTCTCCTCATACTGGTGATGAGTCTTCTGATTTGCATTTGGGGGGTGTTATCCCATTCCTCCCAAAGAGCCTGTGCAAGTTCTGCCAGATTTTGCACACCAGGGACTCGTGCTCGCACACGGTGGCCTAAAATATCCCATAAATGTTCTATGAGATTCAGATCAGGGCTTCTCGCCGGCCAAGGAAGAGTGTCAATGGCGTTACGCTGAAGATATTCCCTCACTGCAAAGGCTTGGTGAGGTCTGGCATTATCGTCCATTAGGATGGGTCGGCTCGTCAGTGTATGGTTTTCAAAATGAGGCACAATTTCTTTTTGAAGGATCTGATTCTGGTACCTTTTGCCATTGAGGTTGCCTTGAACTTGGACTAGGTCAAGTTTACAATCATATGAACAGCAACTCCATACATCACAGACCCACCACCGAATGGAATTTTTGGCTGGGTAATATGTTGATGGTAGGCAGTACCTCGTGGTCGCCATATCCGGCTTCTCCCTTCAATAATGTGCAAAAGAAACTGACTTTCATCAGACCAATGAACACGTCTCCATGACCGAATATTCCAACTGCGCCATGTGTTGCACCACTGCAATCGGTCGTGGATATGTCTCTGGGTGAGAAGAGGACGTCGGATAGGACGACGTGAAGAAAGTCCACCAGCTTTTAGTTTCCGCTTTAATGTGCTGAGAGACAATCGGGCGTTGACTTGCCATCTGTCTCTTAGAGTCCGACTTGTCGATCTTGGCTCCTACCTAGCCAGTCTCAAAAGCATTCTGTCATCACGAGCAGTTGTTTTTCTGGGTCTTCCACTTCCTTGTCGATCTTGGACATTCCCAGTAGCTACGTGCTTATGTATTAGACGACTTATGACGGTGTGGGTAATATTGAGTTGTCGTCCAATTTCCCTACATGACATTCCCGTATTATGCATGCCAATGATTTGCCACCTTTCATTATTACTAATTCGTCATCTAGGCATAGCTGCACGTGGTATACAATCGATAAAAGACTTTGAAAACACTGTGAAAAATGTAGGTGTGAACTTAATTTATTTACAGGCGTAGGGTCACCTTGTAACAGCAAATTTTACCTGGCACATGCATATCATGCACAAGGGCTTATGCGTGTTACATCTCTAGAAAATGACCTCGTTTTAAGCAGTTTTGACAATCTACCTGTGTGATGTGATTTTTGGTTCAGATTTCAAATTTGAAGATGGCAGTGCTTAACTTTTGAGCAGGTGTTTCATCATCAAATTTGTTTTTGTCAATATTGGTACTATATATCGTAACTACATAAAGGGGTCTACAATACAGCATGAATACCACAAGTTTCATCATCGGATTTGTTTTGGTCGATATTGGTACTGTATGTCATAACTATATATAGGGGTCTATAATACAGCATGAATACCACAAGTTTCATCACCGGATTTGTTTTGGTCGATATTGGTACTGTATGTCATAACTATATATAGGGGTCTATAATACAGCATGAATACCACAAGTTTCATCACCGGATTTGTTTTGGTCAATATTGGTACTGTATGTCGTAACTATATAAAGGGGTCTACAATACAGCATGAATACTGTAAGTACACCCATTTTTGCTACCCGAAATATAAATAAACCAGTATACCTTATCATCACACATACATGTAAACTTGATAACAATTTGCACACGAATGTCTACAACTATATTAATATATGAAACAAAGTGACGTGAATGATTAATCTATAATAGGGCAACAGATGGTGTTATGTTGATAAATGATAGTGTAAATATATATTGACACTTTGTACAAAGTCGGCCCCCTGTCAGGTAATAACATATGTTAGATGCCAATAGGTATGACTCTTACCCCTGTAGTTTCATGAAAAGAGAGCTCAATATAATCAACAGGACACTGTTAAAACAACCATATGTCTTACATATATACGAGTGAAAAAGATTCAGTGATACGATTCAAGTTTTGATATCACAATCATTGGAGATGGTAGCACTGACTCCAGTGTTAAAGAACAAGAACTTTGGTATGCTAGAATTGCAACACAATGCCAAATTCAAGTCTATTTCATTGGTGTGTTTTCTCCTGAAAAGGCTAATGCAGAAAACATTGTAAATGGTCTTAAAGGCATTGTATGTAAAAATTTGCAGATCGAGTGGCCGACATTTGCCAGTAAGCTTGTTGCTCTTTCATGTGATGGTGCAAGTGTCATGTTAGGTTGTCGGGCTGGAGTTGGTGCCTTGTTGCGTAAAGAACAGTCATGTGTGCTAACAGTTCACTGTATGGGTCATCAACTGGAGTTGGCAATAAAAGATGCAGTCAAACATTTGTTTAAATGATAAATAAAAGAATCATATGATAATCTGCACCCCTGTATAGTGTGCACTCAGGTATAGTGTGCACTCAGGTATAGTGCGCACTCAGGTATAGTGTGCACTCAGGTATAGTGCGCAGGTACTTTTTTGGGGTCAGGTTCAAAAAAAAAAAAGGTTTTCTACAGAAAGATTAATTGATAACTGGTTACCACGATGAAACAGTTGATGTGGTTTGATCCAATGATAATTAAGAAAGCACAATCATCGTGACCCTAACATATTTAATTACCTTATGTAAACAAGTGTGAAAGGCTTGGCTAATTGGATAATTAACGGTTCTTAACAGGTAACAAACATGTTGAGTATGAGGAGATTGACGACAAACGGCTTGGGCTGAACGTGTACTACTGCTCAGAAAACGATGTTGTTTTAAATGTCTGAAAAGTTTCAATCCTACCTTGTCCCCATATCTGTACCTACCGCGGTATCTGAAGGTACTTAATTATAAATTGTTTACACCGTCTTCGACATGGGGAAACAGCGAACATCGTTTACAGCGAAAGAAAAACTGGACGCCATTGACTACGCCAAGAGACTTGAGTTTTTGAGCTGCTGGTCGCCACTTCGACATTCCAGAGTGAAATATCAAGGCACAGAAGAAAAAAAAGACTGTCTAAAGTCCCAACCACTGACCACAAGGGCTGACATCGGTGTGACAGTTAAACACCCAGAGATGGAGTGAGAGCTGTTCAACTTTGTATGCGATCGCAGAGATGCCGGTATCGCTGCCAGTACAACAGAACTGCGCATGCGGGCCACGCAGATCAAGAGAGGTCAGAGGGTCACCAACTTAAGGCATCGGTGGGATGGGCTCTCTGATTTATGAACAGAATGACAATAGCCCAAAAACTTCCGGACTCATTGAATTCCAGAGATACATCATCAAAATGAGGCAGAAATTCAGACACTACTATAGCTCCGACTAATAGTAAGACTGTGACTATTTGAACGACGGGAAACCAAGGAGGTATCATACATCCCTGGGGAAACGAAAAAAAATTAGATTCACCGTAATGCTAGCGTGTATGGCTGATGATTTAAACATTCAAATTTTATTTTATTTTTTGTTGTTGTTTTTATCTCCAAACTATCATATATGACCGACGACTTTTACATATAACTATGTGAAGGGAGATAATCCAATATGGCGGACGCAGAAATCGGGAATGATAACCCCAAGAATGGCATGTTCCTGTGTATAATGCACACCCCCTTTTTGACATGACAGTTTTAGCTTGAAAAAGTGCTCACTATACATGGAAATTATGGTAATTGGGAATGTTTTTAGCCAATCACAGCTTTGCTATGTCACAGAACACACAAAATATAATTGGGACTGTTTTCAGCCAATCACAGCTTTGCTAAATAATGTAACAATTGAGGAACAATTGGAAACCTTTGCTCTGATAATTTGTAATTCATATACCGTAAATTTGCGGGTATAGTGCGCACTCGGGTATAGTGCGCAGGTATTTTTTGGGGTCAAAAAAAAAAAAAAAAAAAGATTTTCTACAGAAAGATTAATTGATGACTGGTCCGCGATGAAACAGTTGTGGTTTAATCCATTGATAATTAGGAAACCACAATCATTGTGACCCTAACATATTTAATTACCTTTTGTTAAACAAATTCACACAGGTACCTGACTTAACAAGCATGAAAGGCTTGGCTAATTGGATAATTAACGGTTCTTAACAGGTAACAAACACGTTGAGTATGAGGAGATATGACACCCGGCTTCGGCTGAACGCATACTATTGCTCAGAAAAAGATGTTGTTTTAACTGTCTGAAAAGTTTCAATCATACCTTGTCCCCATATCTGTACCTACCGCGGTATCCGAAGGTACTTAGTTATAAATTGTTTACACCGACTTCGACATGGGGAAACAGCCAACGCCATGGACTTTGCTGAGAGACTTGAGTTTCGTGCCACCGGTCGCCACTTCGACAATCCAGAGTGAAATATCAAGGCACGGAAGAAAAAAAAACCATCTAAAGTCCCAACCACTGACCTGAAGGGCTGACATCGGTGCGACAGCGAAACACCCAGAGATGGAGAGAGAGCTGTTCAACTTTGTATGCGATCGCTGAGATGCCAGCATCGCTGCCAGTACAACAGAACTGCGCATGCGGGCCATGCAGATCGAGAGAGGTCATGGGGTCACCAACTTTGGGCATCGGTGGGATGGGCTGTCTGATTTATGAACAGAACGACAATTGCACAAAAATTTCCGGACTCATTGAATTCCACAGATACATCATCAAAATGAGGCAGAAATTCAGACACTATATCCCCGACCAATAGTAAGACCGTCACTATTTGAACGATGGGAAACGAAAAAAAAAATTAGATTCACGGTAATGCTAGTGTGACTGGCCGATGATTAAAACATTCAAAATTTCTTTTATTTTACTTTATTGTTGCTGTTGTTTTTATCTCCAAACTATCATATAAGACAGACGACTTTTACATATAACTATGTGAAGGGAGGTAATCCAATATAGCAGACGCAGAACTCGGGAATGATAACCCCAAGAATGGCATGTTCCTGTGTATAATGCACACCCCCTTTTTGACACGACAGTTTTAGCTTGAAAAAGTGCGCACTATACGCGAAAATTTACGGTAACACCTATGGTGTAATGAAAATAAATGCATTTGGTGTTATGACACTGCTTAGTCTGCTAACTGCCATGTGGCTAGTTTTATATAGTTTCACCCTGGTATGTATTACATTAAAGTCTGGTAATGTAACAAACAACAGGAAAGACAACAAAATACAACTGAAACAGATCAACAAATACTTGGCATAGGAGTTACAGGCCAAGGGAATGAAGAAGATGCTGGTCTAGCTTAGAAACCCTTCCCTGCAATACAGTATTTCTCACAACTGTAGTATGAGGTGTCTATATGTTGTAGGACCAACTTACACAAATTAGTATGTACTATATACCAGTATGTCAAAGCTCATCATTGATGTAATTGTCAGATAACAATGCACACCATGCCAATATAAACAGCTATATAGCTGACCTTACCTTGTCCCTGCCAGATCTAAGTACCAGGTATACACATACTATAGCACGTTATAGCCTTAGGTCAAGAAATGAGCATGTATGTGAATTTTCATTGTAATTGTTAAAGTCATTAAATCAGACTATATTGTTAGGATTATATGTGTAATTACAGGATAATGTTGTTGACCTCCCCAACAGAAGAATGCCATGCAGTCTACTGTCCTAACGATTACCTGTTTCCAAACTGATTCTCATTTCAGCAGGACCAAGGATACAATCAACATTAGTGATTTTCAGTCCCTCTTGAAGCTTCAGTATCACCAACTATTTTTAGTACAATTTTGTGTGCTA